TATGGAGCCCGTTGTCCAATCAATGAGGGGGTTATGCTTTTGAAGCCAGGAATGGCCCAGAACCACAGGCACGTGAGGAGAACTTATAAGTAAAAACCTGACGGGCTCGCTATGATTACCAGAGATGCGTAGAACCACTGGAACGGTACAGAGCGTCACCTTGCCAAGGGGCTGGCCGTCCAAGGCTCGAGCCTCTATAGGAGTGGAGAGGCGTTGGGTCGAGATGCCCAGTTGCTGGACCAGGGCGGAGTCAATGAAGCTCTCATCAGCCCCCGAGTCAATGAGCACTCTGATGGTGTTGGATTGGGCCCCCCACAAAAGAATTGCATGCAGCGGGGCACGGGTAGTATGAGTCCAGGGAGTCTCTGTTTGGCCCACCAGCATACCCGCCCCTACTGATGAGCCTGCTCTTTTAGTGGGCAGGTGGAGATGTAATGGCCGGAAGTGCCACAGTACAAACAGCTGCGGCTGCTAAATCGCCTCTCCCGCTCAGCGGGGCTTATTCTTGCCCTTCCGAGGTCCATGGGCTCTGGTCTATCGACTTTGTGAGGCCTCGGATAATTCCGGAAAGACTCTGCTGAGTCCCTAGTGTCTCTTTGGTTGGAGAGCCGGATACTTCCAGTTTGTGGGGGGTTAGGGGGGGCTGATTGTCTCTCCCGGTTTCTATCCCGCAGCCGGCTATCTATCCGCATAGAAAGGTTCACGAGGGAGTCGAGATCAGGGGGCAGCTCTCGTGCTGCTAGCTCATCCTCGATAATGTCGGACAGCCCATTAAGAAAAGCGTCGAAGAGAGAGTCGGAATTCCATGAACTATCCGCAGCCAGAGTGCGGAAGTCCACCGCGTAGTCTGACACGCTGCGAGAGCCCTGTCGGAGTCGCAGGAGTTTACGCGCTGCTTCCCTCCCCGACACCGGTGACTCAAAAACCTTCTTTATTTCGGCCATAAAGGCAGCCAGACTGGAGCAGATGGGTGTTTGCTGTTCCCACACTGCCGTAGCCCAAGTTCCTGCCCTCCCGGACATAAGCGAAACGATGTACGCTACCTTGGAACGCTCCGATTGAAACGAGGATGGTTGTAGCTCGAAGATCAGGGAACACTTGGAGAGGAATGAACGACAGGTTCTCGAGTCTCCAGAATAGCGCTCAGGAGGTGGTAAGTTGGGTTCCCGAGGGGCCGTGTTGTTACCGGCAAGGCCGCACTTGCTGCGAGGCCACCTTGGTCTGGGGCAGGGGCCGCTGTAGTTGACTGTCCCATAGACATCCCACGAAACTGCTCCATCAGGGATTGATATGTCCGATCGTGGTGGTCAGAGAGGCTTTGAAGTCCCTCTCAACTCCCTGAAGAGCGACGGCATTCCGGAGGGAGTCAGGTTCTGCTGGGTCTGTCATGGCCAGTTCGTACTATCACAACTCAGACAGAGACCCAAACGCAGATATGGGGAATAAGGGTTTTAATGAAGAGGAATTCGGGCAGGCAGTGTCGTTGTCGGAGGCAGGCAGGAGTTCGGTGCACGGGAGATCAGGGGTTCAGAGGTGGCAGGCAGTGTCGTTGTCAGAGGCAGGCCGGAGTTCGGTACACAGGACGTCGGAGGTACAGAGGTGGCAGGCTGTGTCGTTGTCGGAGGCAGGCAGGGGTCAGTACACGGGGGATCTCAAGAATCGACTGGAAACTACTGGAAACTACTGGGATATAACGCTGGTAAGACCTGGTGAAACACACAAGACGAACTGGCAACAAGAACAGGGAGAAGACACAGGTTATATGCCCAAGGGATAATTGACAAACAGGGAACACCTGGTGTGGGAGGAGACAGGGGAAAAACAGGTGAAAACGGGTGAACACAATTAGGGCGTGACAATAAGAGGATTTGAAAAACGATCTCCATTGGAAAACCATGTTAAAATATTAATGATTATAGATTTATATAAATTCAAGCTTAAGAGCTAGAAAGCTGAAAAGCAATACCCCTCCCTCTCCTGAAGGAGCTGAATAATTTAATATTTGAATGGTTTTAATAGCTGAAAGTATGAAGGAGTTGAAAGGTGCAGCGAAGAACTAGTGAAACATAATCAGTGATTATGAAAAAAGTAGAATAGATATCAACAAGCAGTTTTTTTCATAAAATAGTTGAGACCTGTGTCAACATTTGAAAGTTTAAATGGTGTCTGTAGCTGAAAGATTGGCGGAGCTGAAAAGTCTGAAAGTTGAAGAAGTTTAAAGAGAATTTGAAAACAATCTCCATTGGAAAACCATGTTAAAATATTAATGATTATTGATTTATATAAATTCAAGCATAAGAGGTAGAAAGCTGAAAAGTCATAGCCCTCAAGCCAGAAGGGAGCTGAACATTTTAATATTTGAATGGTTTTAATAGCTGAAATTGTGAAGGAGTTGAAAGGTGCGGCGGAAGAAATAGAAGATGAAGGAATAAAGATTCTTCATCTTGCTTAATGCATTCCAACAATAAAGATTCGAAGAACAATACTTGGAATGCTTAATGCATTCCAACAATAAGTTGAAGAAAGACTCGAAGAACAATACTTGGAATGCTTAATGCATTCCAACAATAAAGATTCGAAGAACAATACTTGGAATGCTTAATGCATTCCAACAACTAGTTACCAGTCGAGTGGCTAGCTATAGGAACGTTTATGTATAGGAACGGACTGTTTATGGCCGACATTGAAAAGAATTTTTCATCTTTTTCTGAAACGTTCAGACCACATTTCAACCTTATTTCTAACACGTAAATGTTTGTGCTATATCAATATTGATATCCTCTTGGACAATCACCACCGGTTCCCCCCAAGGCTGCGTTCTTTCCCCTCTGCTCTTCTCCCTGTACACCAACAGCTGCACCTCCAGTCACCAGTCTGTCAAGCTCCTGAAGTTTGCGCATGACACCGACCTCATTGGACTGATCTCTGGTGGGGATGAGTCCGCCTACAGGTGGGAGTCTGACCCTCTGGTGTCGTGGTGCAGCCAGAACAACCTGGAGCTCAACGATCTAAAGACAATGGAGATGGTTGTGGATTTCAGAAAGAACAGAGTCCCACCTTCCCCAATCACTCTGTGTGACTCCCCCGTTACCACTGTGGATTCCTTCCGTTTCCTGGGCTTCATCACCCAGGACCTCAAGTGGGAGCTGAACATCAGCTCCATCACCAAGAAGGCTCAGCAGAGGTTGTTCTTCTTGAGGCAGCTGAAGAAATTCAACCTGCCAATGGCGATAGCTTGTCATCCGCTCTGCAGAGAGGGTGATCGGACGCAATCTGCCGTCTCTCCAGGACTTCTTCGCTTCCAGGACCTTGAAGCGAGGTAAAAGATTGTTGCCGACCCCTCTCACCCCGGACAAAACCTGTTTGTGCCCCTTCCATTTGGCAGGAGGCTGAGGTCCATTAAGACCAAGACCTCCCGCCACACGAACAGTTTCTTCCCGTCGACAGTCGGGCTCATCAACAGAGCCCGGGTCCCCCACCGACTGACTCTGACATCCCACTGGTCACTCCCTTAACACTCCACATGTACATACAATTGTCACTTTCTGTTCGCTGGTGCACTTTATTTTTTACTTTAATTTTTGAAATAAATTCCTATTCCTATGTTGTTCTTGCACTATGTTGTCTTAACTGTCTTGTTGTCCATTGTCTTGTCTGATGTTATGCACCAACCGACAAGTCAAATTCCATGTATGTCTAACATATTTTGGTATTAAATGTTCCTGTTCCTTTTATTTTGAAATTATTGGATTGGGTGGGGTGGGGGGTGTAGAGGGAGGGTGAGAGGGTGAGGAAGGGAGGGGTGGTGAGGAAGAGATAGAGAGGAGGAGAATTCCTGATTGCCGATTCCTGAAAGTCTGTCATGTTGGTTTATGATGACAATATTAGTAAAGTGACTAATTATAATGATAGCAGCAGCAGGTATGTTAGAACCCTCATTTACAGATGTATCAGAACCCTTGTGTGTAAAAGACCCCTCTGGTTCATCATCAGTTGTGTTCAAAGTAGCTACAGCATACATTTAGGCTTCTCGCTCCCTTCATTTTTAAGTCTTAAAAGGTCATGCAAGAAATAGTGAATAAAATTCTCACATACTAGATAAAGTAAATATTGTTTACTTATTACATTATAAACAAGATCACTATTCCTCTTCAACATTGCATTTATAGAGTAACATTTTCAGCTCTATTACACAGTAACATACTTTACAGTTTTTGCTTTTACCATCCAACAACTTTTTACACACCACAACTTGTTGAATTCAGCTATTTCCCTATCCAATTTGTACTTAGCCCCCTAGCTTGAAAAGTATATAAAATATTTTAGATATGAAATGGGAAAGGCAATAATATTGTATGGGTAAAGCAACAGTCCACAAAACCAAACGCATATAATTTCATTTTTTCCAGGTGAAGTTAAGTCGCAGCATGCTCCAAGCTAGCCTGCTAATTAGCAAACTACCTGTGTCAACGCTAATGTTAGTTTACTAGAAAGAGCAGCCTAGTCCGTATCGAGTGGACAGCACTAGTAATGTAAATACTGGTTACAGTTTTCTTCATTGAACACTCACTTACTCGCAGAGTGTATTTGTACCCTGCAGCTTTGGTTTTATCAGCCCGTTCCTGCGTGTTGCAGACATGAGCAGAATTTCATTTAAAAGTAATGTTTCAAACTGCCCACATTACAATTTCCTTAAAGCATCTTGTTAACTACACACAGTAGTTGCATATTTATGACGTTTTAAATGAAATCTTAAATACACTGAAATCCCGTTTTGCGTGGACCAAATTTCACCGACGATTTCATTGATTAATGGAAATCTTAATAATAATATCGTCTCTCTTTCAAACTTACTAACACATTATCAACAAATTGGCGTTTTTTGACACATTGATGGTGGAACCACATTTTGGCTGGTTGAAAAGAAGCTGAAATAAGCTCTTCGACGTTTAGACCTCATTTCCCAATTTCAACGTTGAAATCACGTCTCACTAGGAATATACCTACTGCCCATCTCCGAGGACTGCACTTCCTATCCACTGGGGAAGCAGACTGTGGTTGAGTCTTTTACCCGCCTGTCTGCTAATGGACTGCGGTACGGCAGACATTTATAAGCTCGTCCTGTCATGTGAGTCGCATATTGTTCCTGTTGGTGGGATATTGTGAAATGAATATTTTTCGGTTATTTGAATCTGTCTAAGTGACGTTGGCTGCTCTTTGAGTAAATCCACGAAAGCTGATGTGTTTTGTAATGTCGATGTCGCCCTGGACGGACAGATGGATGCTGAAATGAGATAAGCGTCGTCTTCCCGTTCTCCACCACCACGCTGCTACAGCGCCGAGAACCCAGGCACCCAGAACACCGGAATACAGGGATTTAACATTTGATTTGGCCAGTGAGCCCACCTTATTTCTATATACCCATACAACGGTGATGTGAGCTCAACTCGCGAAGGAGCTGTTCGTGTGTCGTTGTGCTGATGCAGCTCTGACAGAAGTGAGCATGGCTGCCGGAAAGTTACTGCTCTATGCCGGGCTCTCTCTTTCTCTCTGCGCCCTGGGCATGCTGGCCGTGGCGATGTGGTCCGACCACTGGTACGAAACGGACGCCAGGAGGTACAGGGAGCGGTGCCGAAGCTTCTCCAGCCGCCGCAAGGACCCAGGCTTTATCTACATCCCCAACAACAGCCTGCCGCTGCGAGCCAGCCGCAAGGACCCAGGTTTTATCTACATGCCCAACAACAGCCTGCCGCTGCGAGCCAGCCGCAAGGACCCAGGTTTTATCTACATGCCCAACAACAGCCTGCCGCTGCGAGCCAGTCGGAGCAGCCTGCCCCGCCGGGAGGAGAAGCTGCTGCTGGCCCGGAACCGACGGCAGCTGTTTGCCATTAGCGCCGCGGATGAGTGTAGCAGGCAGTATAACTCGACTAACATGGGGCTGTGGAGGAAATGCCATCGTCTCGGCTTCGACCAAGAAATGGAGGACCGCATCCGGAAAGGTAAAGATGATTTAAACAACCAGACAGCTAAATATGCTCTGCATCTGTGTAGATACAGCCGTGTGCGTTCCAGACGCCCACCCAGCAGCAATGTGCCATCTATTATTCTGCATACGGGCGAAACATGCCATCCAGCTATTTTCTTTATTTCGTGGAAACCATTGTTTGTCTAAAGAAAGGCAGAGCGTTACTGCTTTCTTAGACTACTGACTCCTTTTTGTCGTGGTATTTTGCAGAAGAGGGGTTGATTATGGTTGAATATCAGTATGTACCTGCTGTTCCGGTTGTCAGGTCTGATCGCTGGCCTGACCCTGCAACTGCAACAAATGATATATTATATATTCATTGCAGGATATGGCCTAAACAGTGACCACTCAGAACAAGATTGGAAAAGGTGAAGGGCACTCAGCCCAAAGCTGGGGGACTTTACATTTTTACATTTTATGGCATCCACACACACTATTTGTTTTTGTTTTTTTCTGCCGAGATTCTGTACATAATTTAGGAAATACATTTTAGTAAAATCCGAAAGAGCCAACGTGGTCTCGTGTATAATTGTTTTTAATATTCTGAAACATAACACAACTCATGTTGTGAAATTGTCAACTCATGTTGTGACATTGTCAACTCGTTACTGTTTCAATCTTCAGTTTGACACTAAAATGTTATTCATTTCCATGGGAACATATGTGTTGGCATCTAACATAGTTTTAAGACAACAGGTGATGTGTTACCATGACAAAATAAGTTCTGAGGGTGTTCTATTATTGGAACAGAGAAAATTAAAAGAGAGGGTACAAAACAGAATATACAGAAAGCCTACATGCATAGTTAAATCGCCAAAATAGATCCGTCTATTCTGGGAGAATTTGTGTATATGTTTTTGATAACTTAGGGCTGAATAATCACAAAGAAGTCTAAAGAAGAGGGTTGTCGGAGCGTTACAGGAACATTACAGTTAAGGACACAAATTATGAATGCTTTAGCAGAGTAGAGACACCGTGATATGCCCAAAAAGACTCCACAGAAAAATAAGCTATGCTAGAGTCTTAACCCAACATTTCATACCACAGGTTAAGTGAACAAGCCAAAACAAAGCTATATATGCTACAAGTTATAATTAATTTCATTTCAATATATTTTGTACAGCCCCAAACCACAAATTTGACTCAGATGGCTTTACCATCTGTACACATTAGGTAATCTTATTCCACTTTCACCAAGCTACGTAGTTCTGATTGGAGACCCATGTTGATGTCAGTGAGCAGTTTCTCCAAAGATGGATGACAAAGAAGTGCATCTTAGAGGCCTTCGTCCATGTGTTGTTACAGTGCAGATGACATAAAACAACCATGTTCAAAGTATTACTTTATAAACAAGGCTGCAAAATAAATGAGTTATGCGGTTACTTACATGATCTGCGTTTCTCGGTCATGATCGTTATTTCTTGTGAATGGCCTTAAGCCTAGTTTATCCTTTTGTGTTTTCAGAGCGACGCAGACGCAAGACCCCCTTGCGTGCCTTTTCACACCTCCTTGCGTCCTTGCGTGTGTCGAGCCATTTTTCTGCGACGCAAGCAACGCAAAGCCTCCCGCAGCGCACAAGGCTGTGATTGGTCTGCTAACTAGATCCTTTACGGAGTCTCACATTTCCGCTTTCATAGCCCGATACCGCCATTATTAAAACGAAGAATGTTTACGAGAGAACGGATCAGATGGAAGAACTTTTGTCGGAAGAAATGCGTAAATATGACCGCTTATACAACCCGTCATTGGCGGGTCATAGAAGCGGGTTGGATTCACGGAGGGAGATCGCCGCAAACGCCGGTTTGCCGGTCGAGAGGTGAACAAAGTTGTGGAGGAAAATACGGGACAAATGTGTCCACGATGAAAAGCAGCAGTGTCGATGCACGGGGCAATAAATTCTATGATAAATAAATAAACAAATAAATAAATAGATGTGACTCTCTAGGTCGTCTTCAACAAAAACATGTTACTCCGCGTGTTGTTCTGGCGGTGAATTGCTCTGCAACACACGCAGAACCATGAATTGAAACGACGCAGACGCAGGAGCATGCGCCGGCCTTTAGCCTTAGAGAATTCAAACGGCTCAATCATGGTGGCCACTACTACTACTTCCGGGTCCTTTGACTATTCAAATCTAGCCAGATAGCAATGAGTCGGCAGGCCGCCGGCGGTTCGCCAGAGATCGTAGCAGCGGCAGAATGGCGTAATCGCAAACACGTTTGCCGGCGGTCCGCCTTCCTTTCGCGGACGGACAGCAGGTCAACCGCCGTTCCGCCGCAGTTATAACAAAGGCAGCTTTACCGCGGCCCGCCGGAGGCAAACGCTATTTTGGAGCGATCTGTAATATATATATATTTAGTTTATATATATATATATATATATATATATATATATATATATATATATATATATATATATATTTATTTATTTATATATTTATATAAATAAAATGTTTATAGCATGCAGTTTATCTAGAATAATGATTGATCAAACCAGACAAATTTCCATTTGACGTTTTAATTCCACATTTCAGTACAGTATTGAAACAAGATGTGTCAGCACACTGAAATATAAATAAAAAAGAAAACAAAAAAGATATATATATATATATACACACACATAAAATATATACGTACACACACAGAACATGCTGGGGTGTCAGTAGTCTAGACAAGCCTAGGTTTAAGGAGTCGGCTGTGGGTCCCTCTCTGTTGTGCGGCGCCTTTTTCCACCTTCGCGGTCAGATGCTCCTTTCAGGTAACGCATTACATTAACCTGGACCGCCTCATCAGTGGCATCCTGGGTTGCCGGATTCTTCCGTATGGCCCCTGTAGAAAATACAGATCTGTCATTCCATTTGAATACACATCACATACACATCTACTTAAGAGAATATCTAACTTACTTTGAACAATGGTCTTCAGGAACAGGTCTTTAAAACAAGCTTTAGCCCCTACACCAGTCCAAGTTGTAGAAATTAAAAGATACTCTGAAGCATTCTCCCCACTGTTGTCTTCAGGTCCTTCCCACATTTGATGGCCAAAAACCGGAGCTGAAAATCCAAAAAAGTGCTCCAAATTACATTTCGCTGAAGCTTCTCATACATAAATATCAAATATGACAGGCTGTGAATTCAGACTGTCGAATATGCAGTGTACAATCTTAATTTGACTTTAGATTAACCTACAGCGTTAGAAACAATAGCAGCTCACTTACAAATCGTTCCTGGAGCTCGCTATCCTGCCTCAAGCTGCTGTCAAGCAACGCAAAATCTTCCTGGGTGTTTATGGGGAGTAAAAGACCACCGGGCAGGGATAACTCTCCAACAGAAACATTGGCACTGAAATGGTGCAGCAATGTGTCCATTTTGTTTTCCATGCTACGCACAACATCGCCAAACTCTCCAAGACGTCACAGCATTAGGGTCTGATCTGCACCTAAAGGCATTCCCAAAATAAAAGAACATAGTCAGTCCTGGTCCCCCAACTACTAAACTATGATATTTACATCTTGGTATACAACATGTATAGGTGGCCCCAGGGGGAATTAATCAAACAAACACAGGGGTTTGCAAGTCGTATCTGATTGCCACGGTGCGAGCAAACGTCTTGATCATTGTCCCAACTTGCTTCACCTGCTCGTGAAGTGAGCTGCAGTCATCCGAAGCTGCTTGTGCATTGCTTCCCCTCCAGGCTTGGTTCTCCTCCCTCTGGGCTTGGATAAATTGACAACAAGTTATTGCATATATTTACTGAATTGGACAACACACCTAGACACATTTCATCCAGGGCAGTCAAGTGCCCTAATGAAGAACAGATTATGCATAAAAGGATTCCTAATCTTAAATAGAAGCAATAGTTTTAGACAAACAACGTCACTTACTTGTACTCAACTATAAACTACATATTTAAGCATATAACTATATTTAAGAAGGGTTTGACTTCATATTACATTTGAACTTTTTTTTCTTCATAATAACTACAATGGCATTAGTCCGGCGCCCCCCGCGCTCGGAATGAATCGTGTATCTACAATTTACACTACTGATTAAAACCCATTTTTATTAAATGCTGAGGTGATTACTACCAGACAGCATATTTTATGAGTAAACTGGAAAGAATATAAACATATTATTGCGTTAAACACTTACCTAAACGATGGTAGTCGACGTCGATGACTTCAGACTCCAGGCTGCAGCCACTTCAACACGTGTTTTTAAGAAAAATACCTAACGGTAAAGATGGCGACTGTATGCACATGTCCCGCCCCTCCCACTGGAAAGCCAATCATCTACTTCATGTCCCGGAACCTGTGGGGGAAAAAGGCGAACCTTATTTTGGGGAAAAGTCACCATCGTCTTAGCCCCGCCCAAAAGACTTCTGAACACAAGAAAACACTGCAGTTCCTTCTATGTGTTGTATCAATAACATTTATAATGTGCTTAGATTTTATTTCTTTTTTTCAGGGACTTTTAAAATGTCTCAAAATTTTCTAAAGGTTGTTAATTAATACTTAACTGATAATGGCAAAAATAAATAAAACATTGAGGTTTAAAAAATAAAGACAATGCAATTTCCTGAAATGGCATGAAGGAGAGCTTGAGTCCTTCACGTCAAAAAGATTTTGAGAGTATATCAAAGCGGTTTGCCGCCAGCCGGTCGCGGTCCTTTAGACAGAGGCAACCGCCAGAGAAAATGAAGCAGGCGGACCGCCGGCAAACATTGTCTCCCCGCCAGCGGGACGCACCTATAGCCGACAGCTTAGCGCCGGCGGCAAATAGAAGCCGTGCCGATGTTTTTTGCTATCTGAGTAGCCATATATTGCAACTGAAAATAAAATGGGACACATTCATAAAATGTATTTCCAAGTGATATTTGAATATTTTGGAACTGTATGGAAATCTTGGCAGATCGTTTGAAGGCAGTTTCTTAATATAGGCTTTGTGTATTTCTCTATGGATTAAACCTTGGATTAAACCTACCTCCCATTAGACCTGCTTCATCATCTTTATTGCAATCTTTTGTTACTTTTTGACTCACCAATTAATCGATAAATACACTGAATACTGATATATCTGGAGTAGGCTAATATCAGTTGATTATCTGCCTGGTCTTTTTATTACTACAGTTCAACTGTTTTGGCTACAAAATAAGCAGTTAAAAAACAAAACACATTGTCATTTTTGGTGTAAATGTCATAGACAAATAATTCAAATAAATGTCAAGGAGGTTTAACCGCAGTTAAAGCTCCTTAAGGTTAACAAGGCAGCAGGCCCTGATGGTGTCCACCCACGCACCCGAAGGTCTGTGCTGGCCAGCTGTGCTCAGCCCTTCACTCTCTTTTCCTTGTCGCTGTCAAAAATTCCAGTATTGTGGAACATCTTGTCTTCCAATTCCAAAGAAAAACAGTGTGAGAAGTCATAGTCTTACTAACCGGAGACTGATAGCCCTGACGTTGCATATAAGGAAATGGTTTGAGAGGGTTGTCCTGGATCACCTGACAGCTCTTTTATGCACTATTGTTTATGCTCCACAGTATTGATGGGTCATCTTGAAAATCCTGCCATCTCCGTTCTAGTGCTTTTAATACAATTCAACCACACCTTTTAGCTAAAAAACGTATAACTGCACAATACAACCATTGCTTCGGTCTTGGAGTACTCTTGTCTCGACCACAGTTTGTCAGGCTGGATAGAAAATTTTGACACTATTTTGACTGAAACTGGAGCACCACAGTTTTATCTCCCTTTTTATTCTCACTCAATACAGCCGACTATACGAAGAAGCAGGTGTCCTGTAACATCCAAAAGTTGTCATATGACACTGCCCTGGTTGGTCTACGTACCCGAGGCAATAACCTAGCCTATAAACAGGAGGTTTCTTTGGAGGATCCTTTGTCAGCTGGTGTAGTGAAAATCTCTAAAAAACGTAAAAAACAGAGACAAAAAACAAAAAGAGTTGGTTATTGATTTTAGAAGGAACAGGGATGAGGTCTCCCCAATTGTTAGATTCTCATAAATACCTTGCGGTCTATCTGGACTGTAATTTAAACTGGAAAAAGAACACTGATGCTGTTTAAAAAAATGCTCAGTCAAGACTTTTCTTCTTGAGGAAGCTTAGAACTTTTGGCATCAGCAGAAAGCTTCTTCATGTTTTTCATGAATGATGTGCTATGCTGGGGCAGGGGGGCATTACGTCGGATGAAAAAAAACAGAATCAATAAGCTGATCAGAAAGGTTGGTTCAGCGATTGGCCTTCCACTGGACTCACTGAGATCATTATAGATAAGAGAACAAGGGCCAAGTTAATAACAATCATTTATTTTGAGGGCTGTCCACTTCACAGTGTTTTTAATGGACACATTTAGTGAGAGACTCAGGAAGCCTAAGTGTTCTCGGAACAACGAGAGAAAACGATTTATTGAAAAGTCTGTCAAGCCTCTGGTGGCAACACCAGCGGCCACAACAAGCTAACACGCTAACAAGCTAACAAGCCGGCCAGTGAAAAGTAAAGTCTAGTTTATGCTTCTGCGTTTTCAGAGCGACGCAGACGCAAGACCCCCTTGCGTGTCTCTTGCGTGCCTTTTCACACCTCCTTGCGTGCGTCGACCCATTTTTCTAGGCTTGCGTCGCTTTCAACGAGGGCGTCGACGCAACGACGCAGACGCAGAAGCATGTGCCAGCCTTAAGTTGGCCAGCAAGCGGTGAACAGCTGTTCGGGTAGCCGGCGGCGGTCCTTTTCGGGGTCAATGAATTCCTATTGTTTACTTGAGCTATACCGCCATGTACTGGGATAAGTCAGAATCTTTCTAAATACAGTGATATGGATTTTGGGCCATACCACACAGCCCTAAGCAGCAGTTTGATTTTTAGGTTTAGCATCTTCTCGTCTTGTTTATTCCTTGTAACGTGTTTCTTGTCGGTTGTGCTCTGTGGACTGTGTCTATTGTTGTCAGTATGAGTCTGTACAAATTATTTGGTGGCAAATGAATTCCCCTACTGGGGATTAATCTAATCTTTCTTCAGTTAAAGTAATTCCCACCCTCATCACGATTCTTGTTTCAAACGAGGGGAGATGTGTGTGACCAAAGTAAAAAAGAATCATAGAATCCATGCAGCGGGAAGAGAGGGTGTGTGTAATCTTTGAATGTTTGTGTGTATGCGCTGCAGCTGCTGTGCCTTCCTTTAAGGATGCCTCAATGGCCTTGATGGTCTACGATGTGCAGTAATGGGTAGCCCACAGTCAGTGAGCTCAGTGATCAGATGAATGCTTCCATAGAGGGGTCTGTTCTATTCCAGCTCTCTGCTCTATCAGTATAGAAAACTACACTGTGGTTTGCCATTACAATGCATGTGACAATAACTTCACATTGATGGGTCAATAGAGATGGAGCTGCAGCAATTAACACAATTTATTCCTATGTGAGTAGTAATAATAATACTTTCATTTCATATAGCACTTTTATAGATACCTTACATAGGGCAAAGAGAGACAGAACAAAAATGAAAAAACAAACAACAAAAGAGAGAAAAGACCAATAAACAGAACACCATTTTTTATTTTTTAAGAAAAAAAGAACTGGAGAAACTGTGGAATGAGTCATGTAGTGGAGGGTGGGATGTAGGGTTAGAAGAGAACCATCAAACTCCATCCAGGTCGCCTTCCCATCCCTTTCACACTCTCCCCTCGCATGGAGTTCACTGACTACATGTAAGAGCTGGTCATTGCTGGAACTGAACGTACCCCACGGCCCACTTTCTCTCACTTTCACCCATTCATAAACGGATGCCATGGGGCTAGCTTTTTACAATGACACCTAAATAAACTGTAGGCAATTTCTTGAGGAGTAATTTAGGGTTAGTTGTGTTAAGGAATTGGAGCTGGCATTGAACCACAAATTTTCATAGCTACAGTGACCTGAGTTGTCAGCATGTGTTATATAGAAAAAACTTAATGATCAGGGATTTGTGAGGTCAAAGATAAGAGAAAAGGCCTATTAACCCTTTTCTCCACATGCCCCTGCATTTTAATCACCAAATTCAAATCCCAGAAATACATGATGTTTTTATGAAACAGAATCTAAAAGCAAAATAATCTAAAAGCTTTGATCAACCCTGAATCACATTTTACTTTTAACGTTTATATATCCATGCTCATCCACCACTTTGGCATGGGATGAATTAAAAGAAACAGGACAGTGCTAAAGAGAAGCAGTAGCCCCCATTTTAGTTTGCCAGTTACAGTATGAGAGCAGTTGTGTGTCTTTTTGAATATGGAGGATAGGTAAGTGTATGTTATTCGGACAATGTTAGATGGTGACCAATCATAGACTGTATATAAGAAGTGGATGTAGTCTTTACAACATTATTCATTGGTTTGTAGACAGCAATTTTGATGCCACTGAGGATGTCATTTTGGCCTTCGCCACCTTTTTTGTAAACCAGTCAACAGTCAAGTAACCATAAATCTTGTTGTTTTTAAGAATAATCAAAACTAGAGATTGGGACCATAATGTAATGTATACAATCTTTTCTGAGGGAATAACTCAAGAGAATGAATAATATGAACAATAATGAGCTTTGTTTCCAATACATTTCAGAAGAAACATTTTACTTTACTTTGTTCATATTGCCACTTAAAGTACATTTTTAATAATTAACTTTCACATACATTTTTAAATTGTTATTGTTTATTCCATAGTTTTGTAATAATCTATCAAGTATACTGTATGTACTGTTTGAATGTATTGATTAATAGAGTTACTGTGAGAACCAACCATCAATCATAATGCAGAAAGGATATGATCAGGGAATATACTGAATTAACCCCCAATCATCCTCTCCTTTAGATACTTTTGGAATTGGAATTGGAATGTGGAAAAAAATATCCTAATAAATA